AGCGACGACATGGACAACGACAACGACAACGACAACGACAATGACAACGCCGTAGAGAAGGCTGCACATCGATGGTTGTCCGGGGGCTGTGCGCAGAGTGTCGACAATGTCGCTTCAAAAATATTGCAGCCGCAGGACATTTCATGTCCTTGCTCCTTGTTGTTGTTGTTGTTGCTGGACTGCGTGCATTTATAAATTATGCTCAACATGTAAAATGCCATTTTGAATATGAAATTTGATGCCATTTTAAGCCCTATGCCCGTGCTGTACTGTGCCGTCCCTTAGCCAGCACGGCCTGCATTGGCCTTTGTTGACTTGGCCGCATATTTCATCCGGCCAACAGCAGCACAGCAGCATCAGAGCCTCGACTCATATTTTAATTACTTGCTAAACGCAGTGCACATTTATATTTGCTTTTTTTTTCTTTCATTTAGCCCCAAAAACATATTTGTCGTCATCAATTTTGCAGCCGTGCGGCACATTTGTACTCATTTATGGCTAACACCTAGGCTGCATTAGCAGCAGCAGTTGCATTTGGCCTGCGGCATATATGCAATTTGGCCTATTCAGCTGTCTGCAGCTAAGCAAAAAATATACAGGGAGAAAAAAAAGGTCAAAAAATCAATCGGCCACGCAACTAATTCATTTAAATCTAACAAAATCTGAGAAAATCCCTGGCAACGACCTTCGGGATTTTGAGATTTTACGAATGTCAACCGAACGCAACCAAAGTAGCTCAACGGCAGCACCAGCAGCGGGACGGGTCAGGATGGTGGTGGACGGGTGGGAGGGGCAGAGGAGAGGGGAGGAGGGAGGGAGTGTGTGTGTGGTGCCTGGTCTGGGCCCTGTTAAGCTGAGCAAGCAAATCACCGGGCACCCCGGCAATGTTGGCGGCAACCCGTGTGAGCTTTGGCTAAAATAGTTGGCAACAGCACATTAAACAGCGGCGCACATATACACGCACGCACGCACACACTTACACATTTTTGGGTGTGAGTGTGTGCGTGCGAGAGAAAATGAGGCAACAGCAAAAGTCGCAGAACTTTAGCAATTTGAAGCTAATATGTTGACAATCTCTAGCGGCGACGTCGCTAGCACAGTGGCGCCATCTATGGTTATGTGTATTTAAGTCACTGGACAAAGCCTGGCAATGGGAACGGTCGCATGTTGATGTATGTAAGGGGGGGGGGGGGGCGTTGTTCGGCTTTGTAGCGAAAGTCAAAGCTGCGCGCTAGAGATGAGCAAACGTGACAGCTGCATTTACAAGCTCTCTTCTTTATGCTAGGGATGAGCAAACGTGACAGCTATATTTTTTAACACTGTTCTCTATGCATACATAGTATACTTATAGAGAGGCTTGGGAATCCAGTCATATACACATTTAAGAATGATGTAACTGCAGTAGGTGTAAGGTAACTAACTTGTAAGTCCAGTTTCAAATATTAAGTAATTATTATTATAAAAGAATCTTAATATTAGTTAATATAATGGAGCTATTGCTTCAACCAAACAGAAGTTTGGTGCTCAAATCGAATTCTAATATCATTAATAAGTCCGGCTAATAGATAATAAATTTAACCTTGCTCAGATCAAGTGTATTTCTTCAAAATTTTTACAATTATCTTCCACCCATGTGACTATCGTTTTTCCTTACTATCTTGTACACAAATGGATACCACACAGAGGTTAGAATTTGCTTCAATTAATTAAATAAGCTCTATATCTTACTTTTAATAGTTCCTATAAGTGTTATGCATTATTTATAAATATTTTATTTTCATTAAAAAAACTATTATTCTTTGAACTCAATTCCCAGTGCTAGTTAGTTAGGGCTTTCGTCTAATATTGTTGAGTGAATAAATAGTCTGGCATTGTCTTATAGTTTATTTAATGACTGTTTACAGAGAATAAGTTGGGGATTTGGATTAAGAGGTTCTGTCTAGACTCCACAGATTTACAGAGTTTAGTTCGCATGCTCAAGTATTTATATATATATAGAAATAGATATATATGTTTGCCCTATTTCGCCTTGTAGTCGTGATTTTGCCCGTGAATTTTTGGCCCGTCTCTGCTGAGTTGTTGTAATCTTTTAATAAGAAATTCCTGTTGGGTTTTTGTGCTCGTTTACGCACATATGAGTTACAACAAGCAACTCGTGTACTCGTAAAAAGTGGATTTTACTGCTTAACTTTGGCAACAACAAATGAAGCAAATGAAGAACGCACACAAACACACGCGCATTACAACTGAGTAGTTTTTTACATAAATAAAATAAAATGCCATTTTTCCATTGTATTTTTGCTGTGGCAGTTGCAGTCACTGCTGCTGCTACTGCCGCTGTCGCAGTTGCAGTTGCAGTTGCACAAATCCCTTGCACAAAAGTCAGCAATCAAAGCAGATTAAAATATGATTTGACAGCTACGAGCTATGAGAAATGCATGCATATATATCTGTATATGTTATGGCCGATATATATATTTATATTCATTTGTTGCATCTGTGGCATGTCGCTTGCGAGTGGCGCCACAGTTTCTGCCCCGCTGCCCGATTTCATTTTGGCATTTCGATATTGTTTCCATATTTAACTAGAGCCCCGTCGCTTCATATCTTCTGTCGTAAGCCTTCAATTGTTGCGTGCATTGCATTTTTATCAAAGCCAGCAAGAGATAGTGCGCCAGCAGGGGGGCGGGTAGGGTGGATGTGTGGGGTCGGGCATGTGTTGGGCGGCCTATTAAAAATTTAAATCAATTTTCAATATGGATTTCGTATAACTGATATCTATATCCGCATCGGCATCTGGCGGATCGCAATGCGACATTTGCCTGACACTTTTTGTTGATTTTCATTTTATATTTTATTTATATTTATTTTTTTGGTTTTTTGATATATTTTATTTATTGCTTTTGTTCGTATCGCGAAAGCTGTCAGCGCGTTTTTTAGCGTTATCTTGAAAATGTATTGCAACTGAAAATTTCGTTTGCCATATTTATCGAGGCGTCCTTTTCGTCCTATCCTAACACAGCCAAAGTGCACTCCCTATAACGATTATTTTGCTGCTGACCATATCCCGCGTCCTGTCCCGTGCCATGCACCGCTTGCAACGCAAAGCCGACGCTCATTTGCACAATTAACAGTTAATAAGCGAAGCCTTTGGCCAATTGTCGCACAACTATCCACAGGAACTGGCTAACTGACCCCAAAGCAGATTTGCTGCAATTAGCTGCGCCACAGCCGTGTGCGAAGTGCGTAAGGCGCCTAAGCCCCCCAAATGGCCAGGGCCATAATTAAATTATCATTAACGGAAGTCAAATTGCGCGAGTCGGTTTAGTCAGCCGGAAAATGATCTCAGCTTTTAATATTGCCAAAGAGATTGAAAGAATGAAAACTGTGAAAGAATATAATAGATGATTTTGAAATTTTGTAAATTTATAAGATTTGCTGCTTTATGGAATCTAGTCATATCCATTCTGGGCAACTCTGTGATATTATAAATAAGTCCATTTATTTTTGTGTTCTTATATCAATTACTTACATAATATATACTTTATTTAATATACATCTATACTATGCTCCACCCATTTAATCTCTCATTAGCCAGCATATCGAGGCAATGATATACAGATTTACGAACTTTTAGCTAATTTTAAACTAAAAAGTGTCGCTAAATGAGCTCAAATGTAATGGTATTTACGCAACTGTACCTCGTTCGCATAAGTGAGGTTATGTGCGCATGCAAGTGATGGTGAGGTTATGTGTGTGCTTTACAAATCCGTGCACACTGTGGGGGGAAAGGTGGTGCAAATGCTTAAATTCTCATTAGGCGCATTAGTAGCGCTGACCAACCGATGCCCAGACACCTGCCACGCCCCCTGCCACAAACCGCGCCTAAATTCAATAATAATAATTGATTGCTTATTACAAATACAGCACCAACAACAACAACAACAACAACAACGTCGCCTGGCACATTGCATATGTGACTGAAATTTATGTTTCACGTTTTCGGTGTGGAGGGGAATCGCCACATTTCGGCCATTTGCTAATATTTGCGCATTAGTTATTTGCAGGTGGCAACGTGGGCGTTTAGGGCGGGGCTAGGGTGAGGGGCCGCACATGCATAAGCAGCCATAAGTCCAGTTGTAATTGCCCAATGCACCTGGCCTAGACACAGCAGCAAATCGAGAGTTGGGCAGCATTAAATTTTCATGTTTTCATTTTGGGTTTTGTGCAAACAAATTTTAATTATTAACTTTACAATTATGCGAAATCACGAATTACATTAAAATCACTTTGTAATGTTGATTTGGTTTTCGTGCGCCTCTCATATCTGTTTTAAGTCTCGGATAATTAGCTAAGCGTTGCGAAATTGTGATTTAATAAGTAATCAATGGTCCAAAGCTCTTCCCGAAATCAAGCACTACAATATCCTTTCTTGCTTAAATGTTGCTTCAATAAACATTTATTTTCTATATATTCATAGTATCTAATAATAATCGGCTTATTAAGAAGCAGATTAAAATTATTTCAGTCTATTCAAGGTCAAGCGCTACGACCGGAGAGGAGGAAAGAGCCAATCCTCAGCAACTCGCCAACTACCAGATACAGATGCTTCTTGATATATGCCCAGACTGATTGATTGCCTGATTGATTGAATTGGGATAAACAAAAAGGCAGCTGAAATTTGAAGAAAAGCTGAAACGGAGTTTTAGAAAATTTATTAATTGCAACTCGTTTTCACCATGATTAATATTTTCAGAAAAATCCAAACCCCTGGCTGGAAAATGAAAGTACCAGGTTCTTTAAACGAGAGTTTAGGCTTGTTCCGAACTCTCGAGTTGTAAAGTGGTTGGAAAGTTAAGTGAAGCTTCCATTTGAAAAAATATAATTACCCATGAAAAGTATAATAGGTAAATAAATAAAAATGTATATACACTTTTGGATGCGGTTGTCAATTTGTTCTAGCTAGCTTTGAGTTTATAGTATATTATATTTGAAGCTAAATCAAATATTTTTTTTTTCGACACGTTCAGCTCAAATTCAAAAATGATTGAGTAGCCATACTAAGCATATTACCATACTACTGTAACTATACCAAGAGAGGAGCTAAATCTGCAAGCGCGCAATACTTGGCATTATGTTGGGCTTTCTCTTTGTCTGCTTGGTGCTGAGTCAGCTGGTGATGCCCGTGCTTGGGGTGGTCTATGCGAACTGCAGCGAACCGAGCACGCAATTGACCTCTTGTGGACAGATCAGCGCCAATGGCTGTTGTGCCAAGGGCTGCATTCGGAACGCAGTGGGCCGCTGTGTGCTGGAGCAATGCACTGGCAGCTGGAATGGCTGGCTACGACGTCCGGTGACGATGTCCTGTTACTTTCACTGGTTTCTGCTGATCTTTGCCGCCGTCGTAATAGCCCTCATGACGGTCATTGTGATCCTGAATCTGATATTCGAGGTGCGGGTGTGTCTGCGTAAGCGTCGGCTGGCCAGATATGTGCGCTTGAGTCCCAGGAGCAGTCCAAGCAGCAGCGTTGTTTAGAATCCTTGAAAGTATCTGAAGAGGCGGCGACGGCTACGACGGCTACGACGGCGGCGGCATCAATCCAGATGTTAATGCACATGCGTGCGGCATAAAAACTGTGCGGGATTTGGCATAATCTACAATACATTAGCGGTAGCTTTGCTCTGGCTTTCAATTCAATTCGTTGGGTATCTCAACGAAATCCATGTAAATTACGATTTGGCACCTTGCTGCCACGCACAGACACACACACACACAAACACACACGCAGACAAGAGAACACAAGCACTCAGAACGATGCCAAAGTCTCAGAATCCCATTACATAGTAGTTAAAACCTGATTAGGAAATACTTGCGGCTGCTTTCAGCTTTGCCACTCGCTTGGTTAAAAAGAAATAACAATAAATGGCACATGTGAAATGGTTGCTTAGGTTCTTCTGGGTCCTGGGCTGGGGGCTGTAGTCGTCAGGGTAGTCCTGGGTGACAGCGAAAACGTGGCCCAAAAAAAAAGAATTCGCAACAACTCAAAGTCAAAGGTGCAATAACCCAAAAGCACATAAAAGCAAATGGCTGCGGGTTGTCTCTATATACAAGTATATATGTATGTATCTATAGGTGTGTATATGAATATGTATGCGCGCTGCTGTATGTAATGCTGCTATTGCGGTAAAGATAACACACACACACACACACACTCACACACATAGAGAGACGCAGTCAGCCATGCAGCCAAAGCCAAGCCGCGCAGAAAATGAAATGGAAAATATTGCCATGAGAAGCAGCAAAATAAAAAAGAAATAAACGAGCCAAAAAGGAAAAGCTGCGCCAAAAGGTTTGTAGTGTGCGTGCATGTGTGTATGCGATTGTATTTGTGTGTGTGTGTGTGCGAGTGCTGGGTAGCAGCAGATTTAGAGGTTGCTTATGTGTGATTTAGTATAGCACGCGCGAATATGGCGGCGATAATTCTTTAAAAATTGGAAATTGTTTTCCAATCGATTTCGCATTTAGCAAAAAAAGCACTCGACACACACTCGTGCACACAACTACAAGCAGACGAGCGGAAAATGTCTTTTACAGTTGCCCCAACTGCCACGTATCCGTCTCTGCGTGTGCGTACGTGTGTGTTTGTGTGTCAGTTTAGTTTGCGCAAAACATTTTATAAAAATATACAATATGATATAAGCAATAAAAAAAAAAGAAAAACATTTTGTTATTTTTCACCTGGTTGCAGCTTTGGAAAGGATTAGGTAGCTGAAATCATGGATTTGGATTTTAGCTTTTGTTTAGTTTTAGGAGGAAGGTGAAAAGCGAATATTTTTTTGGCCCAAATGGAAAATGATGAAGACGCTGCGCAAAATGGAAAAAGTCAAAACATTAAAGTGAATGGAGTATTGAATCGGATATAAGATTTTAAATAGAATAATGGGATTTCTTATTAAGAGTTAACAATAATATTATAAGCACAAGAAATAACATTGCATGCATCTGACAGAACGTTTCAATACTGCTAAGATTAAGTAAGTTCTTTGATCGAATATTTAGCTAACCAAAGAGTTGTTCCACTCAGTGTTCCAATAATTCGTATGGCAGCTAGAGGTCCGCTTCAGCCGACTTTAACACATATCCCGACTGCAGTAAACATACGGATCTGTGCGTAGGCTCATTAAAATAACTCGAAACTGAGAGGTTAGTACTCATAGAAATAGATTGATAAATGGCCATGGGCTTGCTTATCTATTCGACTGACAGAGAATATATGGCATATAAGGGGTCGGCTATATTTACGCGATACAAAAATATATAAATACAAATTACATAAAATAAATGAATAAAATATCAATAATTATCATTTAAAATGAGTAAATTAACATAATAGTAAAAAGTAAAAGAAAACCCAATATGAATATTTGTATCTTAAGTCAGGCTATAGATTACTTGACTATTCCTACATAGTAAGCATCATAATATAGTCGCGTAAAGATTTGTATTGCGGCAGTATAGCTCACGAATCTACTTATTTAGAGGTCTCGCTGTGCATGAGAAAATGTAACCATTTCTCTATCCAATTTACATTCCCCGCGCTCGTTCATTCAAGTTTATATAAAAGCGATTTTCATAGCTATATAGGGAAAGGAGAGAACCAGCCGATAGTGTGGCTCATTGTATGTGTCGTACAATGACTACAATGGGCAACAAAAGGTTAGATAGATACCCACTCACACTCACACACACACACACACACACACACAACAAGGGGGCGTGTTTCGGTTACAACTTGGGTGCGGACGGGGGAAGGCACACAAAGCACTGTCAGGGGCAGCGGGCACGCAGCTCTGGAGTGGGCGAGTCGTGACATATTTTATTTGCACAATGACAATGCGAGTTACTCGGCAGACGGCAACGAGAACGACGACGACGACGACGACGTCGACTATACACCCGCCATTACGCAAACACACCCCAGCACACACACACACACCTACACACACCCGCAGCTAGATCTGTATAAATTGGATGGCACTGGAAAGGGACACGGGGAACAGGGGCGGGCAGCGTACAAAGTAGTAAAATAAGTGCAAAGGATAATGCGAATTGAAATGACAAAACCCAGAATAATCATTGGCTCCACACTCAGCATGCAGCACTCAGTGGGTTGGTGGGTTGATGGGTGGCGTGTGGAGGGGTATGTGGGGCGGGGGCCGTTGTTTCAGTTAGATGAGTGTGGGATCGAAACATGGCAATGCCATACACAAATGATTTTTATTTATGCCTTTTAAGTAAATTAAAATTTACTCATTTTGTGCAATGAGTTTTGTTGTTGTTCTTTCGCTCAAGTCGTCGTCGCACATGACAATATTGTCAATTTTATTTAGCTAGCCATTTTTATTGCATTTCCTTGACTTAGTCCTGCCTTAGCATTTGCCACGTCTCGTAAAATATTTTTATGTATTTTTTATTTACCCAACGCTGCCATGCATGACCTCAATATAGCATGCCAAGTGGCCCCACAGCCAGCCAGCGAATGCAATTGCCAGCTCCTATTGCCGGAGCTGTGGCTCCTGCTCGGGCGGGCGACTCCTCCTCGTAACATGCTTTTAATGTGCGCCATTTTATTTGCCACAAAACCGACACACGGCACCATTAAAAAGCCATAAGCGCTGAGCCTCGAGCTTCGAGCTGCCTCCGCTGCTGCCGGACTCTCGCTTAGATGTTATTAGAACTCACCTCTCAGCCCTCCATCTCTCTCTCTCTTTCTCTTGTTCTCCTTTCTGTCTCTCTCACATTGCTGCCTTGTTGCTTGCTGTGGTCATAAATTGTGTGCGCTGCTGCATTTTGATTACAATTTTTATGATTTTTAGGTCAAAATTTGCCAACATAAAATGGCCAAAAGTAAATTTGAAATAAATAAAGCGCCGCCGGAATAGGCAACAGCAACAACAACAGCAAGAATAACAAGCACAATAAACACAACAAAATGGTGTCGTGTTTTATGTGCGCCCTTTTTGTGCCATAAAAGGCCAACTTACTCTATATATATGTGCTTGGAGACCAGGCCGGAACCGGTCCCCAGCTCATAATATCTTGTTTCTGGCAGCATTTCGAATTCGGTTAGTTTGCTTATTTTGGGCTCCATGTTTATAAGTTGCGAATTATTTTGGCTTTTGGCTCATATTTCATTTGCATTTAATGAGTCGTAAAGCTGGCCCTGCCACTGCTGCATTGGCTCGTAAAAAGTGTTGCAAATTGAAATTTCAGCTGGGTCGAGCTGCTGATGGGCACTCATTAGACGGCAACTTTCTAATGACCCGGCTAAGCAGGTGCCATACATTTAACTAGGCCTAAACGCAGCCAGGCCTGAAAACTGTGCGTGCCAAGATAGCAGTGCCAAAAGATTTATTGCCAACGCAATGAGTTAAGAAAGACAAGTACCAAAAGGGAAAATACAACAGCAATAGCCAAGTTTCTTATCATGATGACGATGACGAGTTTCTATGTACAACATGCAACAACAACAGCATAAACAACAACAAGAACAGGCAGCAGGAATAATAATGATGAAGCTGCCGCACACTGACAAGCCAAATGATGGAGAATGATGCCAACCAAGCCAAGTCGAGCCTGAAGCTAAAGCAGCTCCATCTGCCTGCTTGTCTGATTGCTCACTGAGCTGAGTGTGTGTGTGAGAGAGGGGTGGGGGAGAGGAACTGGAATTGGTAGGTTGGCAGGCAAATAATGGTTGCTTTTGTCTCTTGTGCGTGTGTTGTCTTTAGAATATTTCAAGATGGCGCAGCTTTCAAACATATGCTTACACACATACACATGCATATTTATCGGTCCCAATGACACTTGCTTAAAACGCCACAATTAATCATAACTTGTTGTTTAGTTCATAATTTCGATCAAACTGTAAAGGGAAAACATTTGTTTTTAAGTTTTATACCGTATTTTAACTTAAGAAATAAATAAATTTGTATAATAATAAAAAATATAAAATAAATATATAAACCTTAGCACTTTTTTGCGACAGAAAACTGAACACGAAAGTTAATTTTTGTTAAAAGATAAAGTTGGTATACAATTTTCATACATACAAAATGAACATATATATTTTGATAAATTATCTTTCAATATATGAGCTCGACTAAGGCTAGTTGGAATTAGACACCTCTAGCTCAAAATGCATTTTAAGACGGAGTTTTGTGCGGGTCGGAATGGATACAGACATAGGGCACATAGACTGATATCTAAAACAATGCGTATATAACTCTTTTAAACTACATTATAGGCTGGAAGTATTGATAATTCTTACTTTTAAGTGCCCAAGTGCTATCAATTCTAACTTGTGAGCTATCAAGTAGCTCCAAAGTTATTTTTCTAAATGAAAACTAGAATAACTTTACTACATTTTTTAAATATAGCTTATTTTAATTAGTTATCTATTAAATCCCTAGACTTCCTGTAAAAGCATTCGAGTTAAATTGGATTTTAGATGGGGCATCTAAAAAGATGGCACATCATCTATATGTAAGCTTAATTTAATCCATGAACGCCACTTTCAGCTAGTGTCATTGTACTCTGTTGGTATATGTAAGGAACGCGTTCACAAATATTATTCACTGTAAATATGTATGAATGTATTTGAGTTGAGGCATGTTGCCGATTTTAATTGCAGCTCATATATATGGCTGCTTGTGCCAGGCTGAGCGTGATTAACAATAATTAGACTTGGCATTAATTACGCCAAAAAGTTAATTACGCATTGCTAAAGAATAATGTCAGTCATTCATGTTGCCGAGTGCGGCGCTTCTGATAACAACGTGCTCAGGCTTCACTTGCAAGCTCCAAGCAAATAGTTGCTCTAACTTTCGCAGAGTTTAGTTTGGAGCTGAGCTGGAATCGCAAACACCCTAAGCATTTCACCAGCTGCTCATCCTCATCGAGCTGCTCTTCCCGAGCGCCGTTTGGCTGTTTATTCAAGCAATTTAATTGCTAATTTCGTGCATGGCAATTGCAATATCCCATGCTGCATAGCCAAGGGGGAGGCTGTGCCGGGGGTTGGGGGTCGGGGGTCAGGGTCGGGGCACTAATAAAGTTCTTAAACAGCAGGCAGGCAACTTATTAACCCTTTGACTTTGGCGCGGCGACACCCACGCATAGATGCGAGCAGCGGTCGCAATAAAATCAATCTTATTAAAACATTAACAGCGGGCAGAATGGCAAATAAAATAAATCAAATGGTTGCCCCCGGCTCCTGGGCACCCGGACGTCTGCCCTTCATCTGCATTGAACGACGCTTAACGCAGCGGGGGTCGGGCGGTTACTTTCTTCAGCCGCGTCTCCGCTACAGCTCCCCTGTCCGCCGGCCACTTTATTAGCCTGCCTTCAATCAGCGGCAAGTGAAGCGGCAGCCAGCATATGAAATTCAAATTTGATGCCCACCCTCAAGCGCAGGGCCAAAGGCGGACAGCCACCCCCCATGGCTGACAATGCCATTTGGGCATTTTGCATAGGGCAGCGGCTACAACAACAACAACAACAACAACAAGGACAGGAACAAGAAGAAGAAGAAGAGGAAGAACAACGACAGCAGCCATGGCATGTCCTTTTATTATTATTTTTATTGTGCGGTGATTTTGTCCCACCCCGGCCAACTGCTTGCTCCGGTCGTTGTGGGAGGGGGTGGAGTGGGGCTTGCGTTTGTCATTTGCCGGTCGACGGTCGACGGTCGGCGGTCGGGTGGGGTGCATATAAATTCGACATAATTTCATTGTAATGAATAAATTGATGGATGGTATATTCTGTGCACCACCTTCCTGCTAAATTAAACACTTTGCCAACCGCAAGGCCAGTCTCAGTACAGATCGTCTATTACAATTTTTACCCACCAGCTCTGGCGCATAAATTATAATTTGATTTTTTTTTAATTTTATATTTCCGAAAACTCATTTGTTAGGTGCGAAAATAGAATATGAATTATTTATAGGTCGTATATGCTGGGCAAATAAAATTGTTAGTTCGTCTTTTTTTTTCCATTATTTTTATTGTTCTTTTTGATTTTTTTGTTTTTTTTTGGTTTGATTTAATGTCTATAACTAGTAATTTTAAGTGTACAATTATTAAATATATTTGTATATATATTTATATTGGGTTTTTTGTTTTAGTAGTTTCTTCCTTCATTTTGTTCATCTATTTTTGTTGATTTATCTCTGGTTGTTTATACGACTAGACAACTCCTTAAAAACTGCTACGGCTTTTGATATATTTTGTTTACAATACATTTTTGACTTGATCTTGATACGTTTTCATTATATTTCTATATATATATATATATTTGGTATATGTGCTGCCAAACAAAGTTGTTTTTTTTTTCGTTTTAGTTTGGGCATAGTTTTATTTATTTTAATTGGTTTTTAGCTGACGCACAGTGGGCAAAGACTTATTTGTTTTTGTTGCAAAAGTTTTTGCAGATAACTTTAACTTTTTTGCTATTTAGTTAGTATAGCTAGTTAGTTCTTTAGTTAAGAGCGAACTAATCTTATAAATACAGCTTGCTGCCTATAGCTAAATATTTGCTTAATATGTACAAAACACTTAACATTCTACATTAAACGTTGGTTTTCGCTTCTTCTTTGTTTAATGAACATAATTGGCATTTAATCTCAATGCAGAAGTGCAAAACATATGAAAAACACATTTATCAATTTGTAATTAATTTTTCTGCCTTTCCGACTGCCGCTTAATACCAACTAATTATAACTGCACACAAGCTCGGACTTTCAGAATTGTTTTTCTTGTTGTTTTATTTTTACGGTTTTTTTTTTGTTTTATAAATGTAATTATTGTTCTTCAAAAAAGTTGTATTTCATGTGCTGTTGTTGCTTTTTTTCGCGTTATTTTCCATCTAAAATTTAATTAAATACGCTTAATGCTAAACTTTTTTTTTGTTTTTGGTATTTTTTGCCCGCTGATTTACGCAGTTTTACAAATAACAAATCGTTAATTATTCATGTTATAAGTACGTTGATTTAAATATTTTATTTATATATTTATGTTTTTTGTTGTATATATATACTTGGCAAACGTTCAATCGATGACGTCCTCGTCGACATCGTCGCCGTTGTCATTGCCGCTGGAGGTGCCACCGGCAGCAGCAGCAGCAGCTGCGGCAGCTGACATTAGTCCGTTGGCGCCTAACGGCGATTTGTTGTTGTCATCGTTGTGGGTCACTGTGCCGCCGTCATCAGTGCCGCCTCCACTTCCGCCGCCCAAGCCCAAATCGGTGTGATCCAGCAGCAGGCTGTTGTTGTTGTTGTTGTGGTGGTGATGACCGTGCAACATGTTGTTGTTGTTGTTATGGCTATGGCTGCCGTTGCCGGTCAAATGCTGCTGCATGGCATTGCCATTGTGCTGGCCGGAGAAGTGCTGCAAGTGGTGCTGATGCTGATTGAGCAGAGCACCGAGTGCGTTTTCTCAGACAACATCGGTCACGCCATACTGGCAGGCGGACAGACCGGCTGAATTGGAGCGCGAGACTGGCGATGGCGCCGAATAGGGGCTGCTGAAGCCTGTGGCATGCTGCTTCGCCTTCAGCCGCAACGTGGCAATGCTCGAGGACATGCTGCTGCTCATGCAGGGCTCGGCGGCGGCACGATACATATACGGATTCGCAGGTGTTGTATACGGACAGGGTGCAGCGCCAACGCCCACGCCCACATTCGTATTGGTCAGCGTGGAGCCCATTGTGCCCGGCAGCATCGAATTGTTCATGCTGACCGCAACACCGCTGGCGCCCGTATTGAAGCAGTTGACCGAGTTCTGGTGATGATTGCTGGTCACCATCGAGCCGAGCGGATTGACCGGCCAGGGGAACGGCTTTGTGCCCAGCGGCGATGGCACCTTGGTCCAGTTGTTATACGGATATGATGAATACAGCGAATCATCTGCGAACGGCTGCATGAACTGTGTGCCAAAGCCGGACTTAAAGTCCGCTGCGGCCACAGCCGCATTCATGGCATTCCGCTCGCGCTTGCGCCACTTGGCCCGCCGGTTCTTGAACCACACCTGCAAAAGCATAACAAAAATTGTTGAGATGAGAAAAGTGCCAGCAGTTTGTGGCAAGTTAGTTAAAGTTTCAAAATGCTTTGTGGCAGTGGCAGCCATTTTCTTTTATTGCGTCGCCGTGCCGCATAATTTATTAGATTGCCGCCAACTTGAAAATTTATGTATCCGTCTGTGTGAGTGGGCGTGTGTGTGTGTGTATGAAAAACTCCCCCAAATGCAGCCCCCACAAAAGCAGCTACCCCCCAAGCAGCAGTGGCGCAAAGGGCGCTGCGTAATACGCATGTGCAGTAATTATAAATACAAATATACATAAATACTGCTGCCATACTGGTTGTTATTGTTGTTGTTATTGCTGGTGTTGGTGTTGCCTTTCTTTTTTAATGGAGAGCTTTATATAAATAAACTCGACGGGCCAACCCCGAAACACAAGCAGTACACAGCTCTCGAGTAGAGTGAGAGAGGGTAGGAGGGGAGCGAGGGGAGCAAGGGCCACAAAAAATAAATCAAAATTATTTTGCAAACAAAAAGTACACAAAGCGCAAAAATAAAAGAAAGAAAAGCGAAAAGCGAGTAGATAAAAAACAAAATGGCAACTTTGTAATTTATTGCTGAAGTTTGCGCAGCGCACACAGATACTCAGCTACTCAGATACAGATACAGATACAAATACATATACGAGATACAGATACGGCTACGGCCACAGATACAGTAAATGACAAAGGCCGTGCAGACGCTGCCAGCAATTCTGATGAGGCTGTTTTTTCTTATTTGTTTCTCTTTAACTTTTGGCTTATTTAAAGACTCTCCAAATGGAGCTTTAAGTTGCACTTTGTTAATTTCCCACCAGCCCACGTGCCATTGGAAATTGCAATTGTTCAGGTAATTAAACCAGCTACAATTTGCGCATTTCATGCCGCTTGTTGCCGCCTTGCCACATTTGTACTTAAATCAACGCAGCCCGGCTTTGGGGTTGTAAATTTATGGCCTGCCTGACGGCTACGCAACGTTTCGGGCCCGTAACTAAATGTGGACACGCGTGGCTCGTATGCAAAGAAAAAAAATATATAACTGGGCCTAAACGGCCGCAACGTGCAACATGCAACATGCAGCGTTTGTTTGTTTTGTGGGCTACAGAAAAAAAAAAGGTTTGCCACGCGGCAATTTAATGCGCATTTATTTGCTCGGCAATTGCCTTAATCGAATTAGTTGCGCTAGTTAATTGAAAACGCATGAGACACAGCCGCCTGATTGAGCTGTAACTAAAAGTTTGGCAGCGTGAGAAACGCCACAAACTAAAACTGCTTCAAGATGCAGCAGCCCGTTCCGGCCAGGACATAAATCACAGTCGGGCCAATTTCAATATCCCCACAGCAATGTGTCAATTTGTCAAGGTACATTGCTCAGTCGCAGCGCAGCAGCATCATCAACAACCACATCATCATCATCACCATCATCATCAGCAGCAGCAACAGCAGCATCATCAACATGATGAGCTTCTGCTGGCAAAACTAACGTCATCGATCTCGTCAACTGTCATTTTCACGTATCATTTAGCAAGTTGTTGAAGTTTGGGCCAAAATGGAAAAAAAAAATAGCAACGTTTGCATGATGGCAAATTGATGTGACTGCAGAGAGAGAGCAGAACCAGCAAAAAAGGAAATATAGCAAGAGTTTTTTTAGAGAGAAGAGAAGTGCACGACTAGCACATACCCTGAAGCTAAGGAAGCAATGGAAAAGAGTTAGGTACAAGAAGAGTGAAATATTCTTAGTCTGTGTATGCAATACGTAGACAAAAACGAAATTGTAAACTTGTTTTGCGTATGATATACGAGAATATATGTTATATTGGAAATTTCCAGGCTCTGGCTTTTGTAGTTTGCCAGATCAAACAGATCAGATTCAAACAGTCGGCCGGGCCTGGCTAGATCGGCTCAAGATTCTGATCAAGAATATATATAAGGTATTGGAGCTGCTTGCTGTTACTTAAATTTGCGCAAGGGTATTTTACTCTTTTTTACCCATATTTAATGGCTACAGGGTATAAAAAAACAACAAAAAACGAAAAGTGTGTGTGTGTGAGAAAAAGCAGCGCAATTTTCCACTCAACGGGCAGACACTTCAGCCAGCACCCGCTGACTCAAGCAGAAAATCCTAATTGGTTTTGATGAAAGCGGCAATGACACCTCCTACCGCTGCGCTGCAGGCTCTACGATGTTCTATGCTGGTGCTGCAGCGCTTCATCAGGTAAAGTTGTTAAAAAAAAGCAGCATTTTTTGTATGGTATATGTATGAGTGGTGCCAATGTGACCATGTGGCAAAAGTTACGGGGCTGAGGTCGCCTTTTTTTTTAACTACGGGTCTTTCTTTTGAGTGAAGAGCTGCCATTTTGATTGATGGCCACAAATTGCAGCTAAATACGTTTTTTATTTGCTTAATTCTTGTTGTTGCTGCCGTTGCCTTTACCGTTGCCGTTGCCGCTAGGGGCCCTTTTCCCACTTCCGGGACTGCGCTTGGATAGCATGAAATTGAAATTGAAGTGAAAATTTTGATTGCAAACAATATTGATAAGCATTACGAGACTCGAAAGGCGCAACACAGTTGATTGCTTGCTTTTAAGCAGCAAACCCCTCGTAAGATAATTATAAACAGTTTCTAGACTGGAAAAAGATAAAAAACATATTTTTGTTACTGCAGCTCTTAAGAGTTTAATTAAAAGCTAGTGATAGCAGCTAACAGTTTTTTTTGAGTTTTTTCCCCCTAAGTTTTTACATTTACACGTCTTTCAGTTAAGCAGTTTTAAAAGCAAATTAAACTTTTGGAGGTAAAATGAAGATTTGGAATTGATAACAGATAATTAATCATACTTAAAGCTTGTCTATTGGGTGAGCTGTCCTCTAAAAACAATGCAATTGCCCTTAAAGCTCGCCCAGTCGCTTCGTGGTCTTATTCATTGAATTACTCCTAAAGCTTTTATTGCTTTTATTTATTATTAATTATTCGGACATTAGCATTTTGCTTGAAAACATAAATAAATTACATACTAGTTTAGCTGTCCAAAAATTATTCCGTTCCTTATCTAACCAATGCAATTGTTCTTAAAGCTCAACGCGTAAATACAATAACTTAAAGCTTTAAGCTCGCCTATTCACTTCTTCCCAGAATTAATTGAATTGCACTTAAAGCTTTAATTACCATGCTGCTTTGTTTGCGGCTCTCGCCGAATTTCAGCTTTAGTGTTATTTTTTTATGAAGTTCATAAAAGCATTTAAGCACACAAGATTAAGGTTCGGCCAACTGTTGACACCATTCGCTTCCCGCTTGTAAGAGTTAATTTGTTTGTATAGCTTATCCCTAATAAGTACTTTTGAGGCATCTTTTAGCCTTAGTTAAATAAAAAAAAAATTTGACTCTGGCTACAGCCAGAGTTCGGTTTTTGCTGGCCGACTCCAAGTACTGACGATTCTTAATGGGCCATATTGTGGCGCCATTCTTTTTTATGCCGCCAATAGAATGACTTTTCTATAGACAGACAAGTGTTTGTTTTTTTCCAGGCCATTGCCAACAGCTGACCATAAAAGGAGTAAAAAGGAGTTGTTCCAGCATATAACGTACTCCGATTTCAATTGCAATTTTTATACTCTGCCCCCATTGGACGACAAATGTTTTTACGAGTTTGTTTGACTGTTAATTGAATGAAATGAATTTTTGTTTCAGTAATGTTTTAAAAAGTATATAAAGAACTCGACAGTCAGAAGAGAACATATTGCCATAATTGCCGGCGCATGTAAATCCTCAGATTAGTAGCTATCAGGGATGTCCAAGTAGCGGCAACATTTCCTGCCCAGCTACTGCAACTGCCACTGCTTTGTTTGCCCAGACGGGGCTGCTCTTTTCCACCTTTTTTTTTGGTTTTTGACAATTTAAAGCCCACCCAGATTTATATGTGTGTATGTGTGCGAGCGAGCTGTAATCCTTTTGTATATTTGATAAATTTTATTGCCTACGCTATTATTGCAGTCAAATGTTATTTTGCCTTTTACCAAACCCCTCTACCCTACCCCCAACCCCTAGAGCCCCGCGCTGTGCGGAGACAGCACGATCATGATCATTAATTCTCATGCGGTTTCTAATTCATTAAACAACCCTCGTTTGCTGCCGCACAAAAACTCATCCAAAGCTGCTGACAAATTGCCTCGCATTGTTTTGCATTTTATCGTGGGGTTTGAGGGTGGGGGGTGCAGGAGGGTTGCAGCCCAAAGTCAAACCCCCTGCCCCTGCCGCAGACGGCAGTGGCAAACCTTTTGTCATCATATAATGGACCATAAAACAAACTGTATCAATATTTTATGCATTGAGCGCAACACATGTTTAGATTGACATAATTTCCCGACTTTTCTCCTGCCAGCCAGCCGGCAGAAGCCCATCCCTTGGTCGACACTTGTTTCTGGGCCGCAGCTAATTTCTTTATAGTGGCCCGTCAAGTGTTATATGAAGAGAAATTCTGAGCATATGCGCGACATAAACTAGAAATTTGCATAGAAAAACCATGAAATATTCTTTTTGGTGTCAGCAATTTGTCAAGAATGATTCGACTAAAATGTTGCAACTGGCAGATGTTTGTTTATTTTAATTGCATTTATATGAGACGTTATCCATGTCCGCTGTACGCACAATTAACGTTCTACGTTGTGTCGCCATAGCTGATGATCATCAGCAACATCATCATCATGATCGATCAATCGGGGCAAGTCGAGGCGCTGTCCCTATAATCATATCTACAGTGTAACTGCCGTGTCGCTGTCTTGTCTGACAGACTGACTGCCGGACTGACTGACTGGCTGACTGGCCCAACAAATGGATATCTATATAGATATTATAGTTATCGTATCGGTCGGGTTTATATTTGCCACGCATATTTGCCGCTTGGCGCCACTTATGTGCATACAACTTCTTCAATTGTTTACCAACTATCGTTTACAAACAATTACAACTGTTGTGCGTGCGAGTTGTTGGTTGTTTTTTTGTTTCTTTTACACACAATGACAACACGCCCCACAACTGCTTGAGGCTGTCAATAGCTGGGCTCCATTGGCGTCGCATGTTCAAACAGCTGCCCGGGGGCATATTTTGATAAGCTTCGCGTTCTCGGCCCAGTTTACACACACGGTTAGGGCCATAAAAAGCGGCTGCAAACTGCGCCAAACTTTTAGCCGCAATCGAGGCGGCAATTTATGGCAACTTTGCGCCACGGCCACCCGCTGCCGCCGCCGCTGCATTGGCTAAGCCTAAAGCCCAGCAACATGGTGGCACCACCCAAAAGCGAGCCACTCGGCCTGCAACATAAATTTACGCTGCACAGCGAAAAATGGCGACGGTTTTTGGCCAGTGAGCGCTTAAGCCGCGCGAATTCAAACGGCAATTTGGGGCAAGGCTGGGGGGCAGGCAGCATATTTACGAGTTGGCGCTTGCATTTTGTATGTGCCGCTGTTTGCATTTGTATTGGTGGCAGCTACGTGCTGCGGTTGCATTGCGGTCATTTTGGCCCAGTGGACAAGGCAGCCGCAGCCGCCGCAGTAATTGCCGCATAATTGCACAAAACACACACACACACGTACACACACTTTTGTTGTGGCTGCCGCTGCTGTTATTTACAATTTGCGGCTTTTACTGTGCATTTGATTTGATATGAATTGAACTGCTCACCCGAACTCTGGCCTCGGTTAGATTGGTCCACATCGCAATTTCCTCGCGCGTCGACATATCCGGATAGCGATTGCGACTGAACGTATGCTCCAGCTCCTGCAGCTGCTGGGAGGTGAAATGGGTGCGCTGTCGCCGCTGGCGCTTGTTCTTTTTATCATTCTTTGGCTCATCGGCGCTGGTGGTCATCGGCTCATCATGCCCAGAATTTGATATGTTCTCCGTTTTAATTGTGGTCTCATTTACGCTGCGATTGCCTGCAAGCGAAAAATGCAAATAAACAGAGTATGCATTAAAAACAATTTTAATCTGCCTGTAAATTTATAATCTAGCTCATTAAAATGTGTTTGATCTGCTTTGCGGTGTCTATCTAAGATTTTATCTGAATTTCATTTGCAGGAGTGCATAGTGTCTGGAAGGCTACTTCAGCAGCAGTTCACGCCCTAATCAGTTGCGCCCCGCTGCCGTTACTAATTGCCATGCAACCTTCAAATGACGCCAAACCCCAATCAGGCCCAACCACAAGCCCAGCTACCACTTCCACTCACCCACTACTCCGCTCACACACCCCCACACCCGGTCCCTGGCCCCACTCGTTAACACACTTCAAACGTGTGCCGCCGGCGGGGCTAGCCTAGTTTTTGGCTGCTACCAGATTTACAACCCGGCTAATGTGTGTTCCGATCATGTCATCGATCATGGCGGCGTGCTCTCTCTGTTGTTGTCGTTGTTGCCGTTGCCGAGCACCGAAACTTAATCAAATAAACTAAATGACTGGCCATATGAAATATCAGTTTCGGTGGCTCGACAACGTCGTCATAGTGTCGCAAATCAAAGCAGTCTAATCGAAAACTAAACGGACGCGAGTGAGTAAATTTTCGCCGACAAAGGCCAAGAGGCAACTTCACCCTTTCACCTGCCCCCAGCCCCAGCAACTATGCGCCACCACATTGGCCATGCTTTAGAAAATTATTATAAATTATGTTTCTTATCTAATACACTCGCACGTATAAAATCAATAACGAGCCACTCGGTGAGTCCACGGTTCCACGCTTATTCCGAACCACATCATGCGATTAGGCGCAACGATCCAAAATAACTATTATTCATGTTTCAGAAAATGACATGTTTATTATCAAAGCTGGTGTAAAAACTAATGTTGTATTAAGTTATAAGAAGTTTCAGTTGAAAACCCAGAAACTGACTAATCTTTCCATGAAGAGCTGTTTATGTAGTATAATAATAATTATAAATTAATATTCCCAAGCTTCGTCGAAATATTCTTAAGAAGTCTCAATAGGATTGTCATCAAGTCTAATATGCATAGCTTATTTCCTTTGGGGAAGACTATATAGTATATCTTACATTAGATTAAATTAAATTAAGTAAAACCTAAGGCCGAATTATTCAGGTCATATAACATCTAAATTTGTTAAGATTTTGTTTGATTCAGTTGCCGTGTACTTACCATCTTTGCGATCCCGACTTCGATTCGTTAAGGTGGATGACGATGAAGTTTGAAAGTTATTTAAATGTGTGCTATCCAAACTATTTGCTACGGCGGTCATGGAGCTATGACTATCACGAAAATCACCGGTTTCGGCCCAAACTGAAAAGAATAAACCAGCAAAGGGCACAGAAATATACAAAAAAATTAATGTTTTAACATAATGTTTTAAAGGGTATTAAAGGGCGTAGTGTTTCGCACAAGATACGGCTCCTTAAACGCCCATAAAAAGGCGCATCATAAAAGGATTTATGGCTTTTGGACGCCACTGGACCAGTTTTAAATGGGCTTTTGGTTAGCTCGATTAAGGATACGAGTGCCCGGGCTTCCGAGCTGAGAGCCAAGACTTTGTTCGTTAATTGCTCGCTGGAGGAAGCATTATGAAAACTTTACGCCATAAGGCTTTGTCTGAAAGTGAGCGAAAATAGTCAGGATAAATATATACTTATAGCCCCATCCCAACCATAAATCGAACTCAAATGAGCCATGCGTTTGGCTACCCTACAATAATTGCTCTAATTATCCCAGTTAGTCACGCTGAATTTCATATTAATTAGTCAGCCTTTTGACATGTTCCCCAATGCAGATTTATGGCCAGACAATTGATATTCGGCTTGGGGCCTGCGAACCTTGAGGTGTGCGCCCATATGGCATAGGTCTCGACTTCCTGGCCATTGCTCCTAAATCTTATGGACTTCCTCGGGCCGCTCGTTGCATAATTTATGGCATTTTCACATGTTGTCAGTTTTATGTGGTTTTTAAAGTGTCTGCCAGGCTGGCTGCAAACACCCGCTGCGACATTTTTGTGAAACAATTAGCTCGATGCTGGTGTGAAATTTGAGGGGTACTTGGGAGAGCTCTCTCCCTCTCTCCCTCTCTTTCTCTCTCCAGCGAGTGCCCACAGGTCTATTAATTACGTGGAATTTTCTTTAATTTATGCCGTTTACAACGGTCTCACTTGCGCTTTACAGTGAACAAATATGTGCATCAAATGTTTTATCTTTGAAGCTGTAGTTAAATATCTTAATTGATATTTTTAGCAAATCATAGTTGGAATTCCGCTTATATTCCCCTGTGTGCATCAAGTGACAGACACATTATTTTATATTATTCGGCAAATATGCAATGAATGCAATTTAGGGTCTGCTATTTAGTTAAAGTCGCACATGGGAATATTTTATGGCCGGGAATTTAGGCAAAACTACGAAAAATAAAAGTCTTTCCAGCATTCACATGAATTACAGATTTGTATATAAATCTTTATGCCTTAAAATATATATAGCTTAGAATTCACTTAAAGTTAGTTGGTTAGCATGGGGAACAACCCATTTTTGGTAGCCTAGTCTGGGTCTCGAAACCGAAACATGCATCATTATTAACCCGAAGGAATATATTACGTTTCAACATTGAATAATTCAGAATGGGAGATACATATATGTACTATTTATGTATAAGAATATATTTATATTTATTTTGGTCTTCAGCTGGCATATCAGTATCTTTTTTAATTTTTTAGTCGAACATCTTTTACTGGAATATCATAATATTCTCCAGTTAGACTGGAGTCTGAAAATTGTTCGGATCCAAGTTCATAGACAGCTGAATACAGTATCTTATACATTCTAAAAACTGTTTCTTTTTGTATTTTTGGTATACTTGATGTTCAGCTATATATTTCTTGATTACTCAATGGGTGTAGCATGTGCAGACGTCATTCATAAAGCAAGTTTTTTAATGATTCGACCGTCCCTTAAATACCAGAATGCTTCTTGATAGCCGTTGCTGTTGTGCCCGAATTTCAACCTGAGCATGTGTCGTTAAATGGGTCGCCAGCGTCATCTGTGCTATCCGCTAAGAACTGTGGCCCCCTCTCCCCATCCCATCCGCATATAGCCGTGTCAAGTGGAGAAATGTAAAAATATTTTCTTAACGACGCGCTCTAAAAAACGCAGAGAAAAGCACGTACCGCAGCGATTTTTATTTGTTTAAATATTTCGTACAAATTTTCCTAATTTTCCGACTAATTTGAATTCGTTTTTCCGACTCAAATTTGAATTGTTGTCGCCTGTCAGTTGGCGTTGACATTTTGTTGGCGCAGTTGTTGCCACAGTTTTACACTGCTTTTCAAGGTTCGCTGCCTGAGTGAGTGGCAAGTGTCAATACGAATAGCTGGCCAAGTGTCTCGTGGGCGTAGCCCCAACATTTTGGCCAGCCATGTCAGGAGTGCGCTGTGACAACAAGTGTCAGCGTCAATTTTTAGCCACATTCTTGTCAGCCATTTTGCAGAGGCGTTTAAGCAAACAAATGGGCAAATTGTGGCTGGGCCAAAACTCACAACGAAAGTCAACAAACGCACACCCTAACGAAGGGCGCAACTATTAATCAAGCTGCAAATATGATCGTGCAGAAAAATGAGAAATAAATGTTTGCCCAAGCAATGATTTTGATTTTTATATCCTGCACACACACACACATACACACACAAACACGGAGAGACATTTGGCCATTTGTCGCATTCATTCATAAACATTTTCCACACTCACACACAGTTTTCCACAAAAACTTTGACACACGACACGGCAAGGCAGCCGTGGCCAGGAGCAGTAGCTATAAATTATCCTGCCCGTGCACTGTCAAACCTCGGCGCAGGATACAAAGGATACACACACAGGCCGAAACCCAGACCCAGACTCAGACCAAGACCAAAACAAACAAACAATCGCAACGAGCCTGTGGAAATTGCTATATGGGAAGCTGGACAAAACGTACGCCCCGAGTGCGCGTCCTTTGACACGAAGCACAACCCAACAAAAAAAAAGGAAAAGAAATGAAAATAGGAGGAAAAATGCGAGCCATAAGCAACGTTTACTTGTAGCATTTTGTGACCAAAAACAAACGATTAATGTGACAGTTGAATTGGGATGCGCAGACAAGCAAACAAACACACACACACACACACACATACATATATATATATATCACACACAGATACAGCCATAAGCAGGAATTGGAATTGGCATCCTTTGGCTAGAGCATTTGCCCCTTTTTCCCCGGTTGTCTGCTGCTATTTTGACAAGTTAGTTGCTTTTATTCTTCTCCAAAAACTAAACCACCCGTTTGTGTGGAGGGGGGCATATAAAAGGGTTAAACGCTGCGGTTGCCTGCCACATAAATATGTTGCATATACACACATACATACATATATATTTCCAATTTCACGGCACATTTGCTCGGGCCAAACAGAAAGTGTTAATATGCGACAGGTTATTTTATTTTTTTGGCCATATGTTGACATTGTCTATGCGCTCCCTTTGTCGAGCTGGCCAGAAATTAGCCAGAAAGGCTGTAAAAATTAAGTTTCAAGGGGCGAGCAACGAGAAGAAAAACTTAATTTTTATATGCCATTGAAGCGCATGCTTGGGTGTATCACAACAATCTACAAAGTTAATCCTTTATAGTTGCTTTTGTGCAAGCCAGACAATGACAATGGATGTACGTGTGCCATGGCAGGACATACGTTATGGCCATATAATGAGCTTGGCTGTGCCACACATACACACACACACAGATATAGAAATAAAAATCACTGCAATAACATTGACATGGCCCCAAAGTACGAGCAACCCTCCGAGCAGAACGAATCCCGGCCAGACAGACCAGCCAGCCAGCGAGTCAGCCAGCCGGAGCTCATTAGCCGACGTCCTGTAGATAAGGATAAGACATGCAGACCCCAACAACAACAACAACGAGAACAAGAACAACAACAACTGTCGTTTCTCTGTTGGCTTCTAGTTGCCGTTGTAGTTTTCCACTGCAATGCCCTTTTCCGTAATTTTCTCGACTGTCAGCTCAAATTTTGGCTCCAGTTGATGCCGTTGGGTCATTTGCCCAACTCTGGCCATTCGTCCGCTCGTCCGTTCGTCCGTTCTTCCGTTTGCCCATTTGCCCATTTGCCAGTGGCGGCAGCTGGAAGCCGGCAACGCCTGGACACAGCCCCTGCAAGTTTGTTGCCTCAGATAATCTCTAATGCGACATTTTTACGAAATTGCACGATACGGATAATGAGAAAGAGGCGGCTGTGGAGTCCCAGGGAAAACCCCGTACTCGTAACCCAAACTTTTGCAGTGAAGTTTTCCAACGCGCTGCGACGTAATTGCGGTCGTGGTCGAGTTGCGGCTGGCGCTTGAGATGCGACCAGATACGAGGGGGAGTTGCTTGCTTGCCATAATGACATTATAATTTATATAAACGAAATCAGTGCCATCAGAGCCAGAGAGAAAGAGAGAGTGGGCGAGAGAAAGAGGCAGAGAGAGAGGAAGATAAACCGAGCCACATGTCTCCGTCTGTGCGCCAGGACACGGGATTGATATATGGGCAGTTTTTGCCTTGTCCTTGCAAGTTGCAGCACTTCAGCGAGTTGGCAAAAACTAGAAGTGGGCGTCACCAATGGGTGATTATCATTGGTCCGGTCCGTTCGCCCACAATTTATGGGGTGTTTGCTTGGCAATTGCAATGCGATCTTTGTTTTTGCCGGCTGGCTGCGTTGGCAATTGAGTTGCCAGCTCTGACATATGTGCGCAATTTTCCAGAGATTTACCCTAGAAAATGCACTGACAATGATGAAAATTGCTTAAAGTGCCAGCAACAGCTTTAAGGATACAAATTACAAAATGGCTGGCGAAAAACAAAAAACATAAAAAAACCGAGAAGAAAATCGATAAAATGTATTTATATTCATAAAGAAATTTTGAGACATGCCACAGCCGCCATACGTTGAATTTAAAGTAGCTACAGGCCGCACATCCTTGGGCGAATGTATCTGTATCTGAAGCTGCGCCGTGTCGCATATGCGCTCTGTCGCGTCCCAGCTACGTTTCATTTTTAGGCGCTTTATTAAGGAAGTCTTGAAGCTGGCTGTGCTTTTTACTCTTCTTTTTGCAATAAACATTTTAGGGTATATCCCATGTTGACCTACTCTATGACTATGACAGAGCTATATTAATAGATGCGTCTGATAGGCTGCTTGTCTTCTAAGTATCTTATAGTCTTTTCTTTAAGCCAATTTCCCTAAAAGTACTTTTATTATACCGAACGCCTACAAGCTGAAGTGCATAAAGTGTTGGGACAGCTTTCTTTGCGTGTTTGTAATGTTTATAGGCACAATACCGACTCTCGAGCTGCACGTGCCATTAACACTTTATGCCAGGCACTGGCCAAATAAACAACCAGTAAACAACAACAACAGAGAGCAGACCCAAGTTAAATGCTACACAGATGTAAGTGCGTGCATTAATGTATGTATATATGAACAGCGGGCACAATAGATAACAAGATTTCATCAGAAAAGTCGAGCAGAAAATTCTCGCACTCTCAGCCACAGTTACAGATACAGATACAGATACAGATACAAATGTAGCTAGTGCTACACTTAGATACAGCCGGCAATTTCATATTTTATCAAGGGCCACAAACGGCAAACATTGTCGTAGGCAAATAGTTCTACCATATCTATGCGAGTATCTGTATCTGTAACAACTTGGCAAACACGCAAAGGACTCGTATAATAATAATAATAATAATAAAAAAACCAAATTTGTTGTAGTACGATATTGTATTATTTGCACAGCAACCAAAATGTAAACTGCTCTGATTTGGTTTGTTGTGTACTTTCGAGGTTTTTGTTAGTCTTTGGCTTTGCTCTGGGCAAATACAAATGAATCTGAAATCTTTTTGTGCATGCACAGCCAAATAGACACTCAGATACCCAGACGGGCTATGGTCAGATAAGGTGGCTAATTGCTGTTAACAGTGAAAGAGATGCGTCGCAAGGTCGCAGGATAATGTCATAGATTCAGGTTGTACGCACACAGAAACGAGCACAATCGGATATAGTTGATATGGTAGAAAAGCTCCTGAGCAGTTGCGCTGGCAGCTGCTGACAACATAATTCAGCCCGCTAGACAAACATGGCCAGCTGCCAGTCGTTGAGCAGAGACATTAAAGAGTTGTAGTCCGAGGTATTAAAAAGCATTAACTTTTTATTGTTTTACACGCTGCATCGCGCATACATAATAAAAGAGTATAAAACTGATGCTGGGCGGAAAATGGTGAAAAATTAGTGTACGTGAACTTGAAATCCTTTGAGCGCCAAATTTCAAATAAAAACACGCACAGAAGCCATAAAATAATGTTTAAAAAAAATGTATATATATATAAAAACACGCAACTAAACGAATTCAGAGGTGTGTGCGGCTCATAAAAAACTGCAATAATAAAAAAGCATTTCCACACACAAAAATAAATACTCGCACAAATAAAACTGAAATTGTTCATAACACAAACGAATGGCTGTGTGTAGGTGGTTTGATTTTGTGGTCGTGCTAAGAGGGGCAGCCATTAAATTGGCCAATAATTGAAAATCCAATTGCAATGTGCAACAGTCCAAGCAGCGGGCACGTTGTGCAACCATTATTTAAACAAGAGCGTAAACAATAACGACAACGACAACAACAATCGGCAACAAACAACAGCCAGAGTGAAATTTGTTGGCAACATGCGCGTTGCCTGTGGTCCGCACCTGCAGCCTTGGCCACAACTTCAACTGTCTGCCTGCAGTGTGTGTGTGTGTGTGTGTGTGTTGAGTGTGTGTTCGAGTGTGTGTCCTGGTGTGCATGTCAAAGGATAACTGCACTCGTGCATATTTTAAGTGCGCACAATTTTTGTGTTAAATTGTTTTGCCACGCAAATAAATGGCCAGACAGCTGCGGCCAGCATACCAAACCACCCCCTTTCCCCCGAACCGGCGCCCTCTTCTGCAGAGTGCAAAGTTTGTAAGGCTGTTAACCCGGCAGAGCAGGTGCTTAGGGCATAGGTTCAAGGCAGACAGCTAACAAATCTCTCAGCTAAAGCAGACAAATACTTATGCGACGCTTAAGCATTAGCATTTAAAGAGATCATTCCGAAAGCAGAAAGTTTTTGGTCTAAAGTTATGAAATCTGTGTTTAATAAATGGAGCTTATGAAATTAGCTTAAAGCTGCAAATAGGATTAATCTCGTGCAAAACTTTGATCAGCTTTCAAAGCTGTTAACTAAAATACCCGCTTATTGCAGAGATTGAAGCTTAGAAAGTCAAGAAGTCTTTAATATAATTGCAATAGGGATTACAAAAATTAAAAGAATAATTTGCAAAAGTTGTTAATATTTAAGGAAAGAAACACCTTTTTTTATGTGCTTTTAAAGTTTGAGATTAAAAAAAAAACTAAAATCTCCAACTGATGCTAATCGTATTTTAATTATACATTTTATACAAATTGTTTCATTTAAAATTGTTGAACATATTTGTATCCCTGTAACTTTTTACATATTGGATTTATATAAAATTTATAAATGTATCTATTATATTTGTAGATCAATCAAAAATTGACCAAATTTTTCAAATCTATTATTAGTAAGTATAAGTATAAGCGGGCCTGGAAGCCCAAAATAGAGTGATAGGTACTGTGGATCACGAACAAACTGCCTGCCTTTTGGTTCGCTTGGTAAAGCTTGAACCCAGTTTTTGGATCAAAACAATTAATAAGTTAATAATTGCTCGATGTATTGAAAATATTGTGATAAGAGGCGAGCTAGATGTGAACTCTATCCAAAATTGGCATCTACCAATTATGGTAAGATAAATGCATGGATGAGGTCCACAGTTAATTCTACTTTGGGGCTGGGTCTAAAAGTTTTTTATTATGCATCAAGCATGGTTTAGCTTGCAGCCTTGATAATCTGACGGTCCTCACACTGCACCTAGGACTGCTTCAACGTAGAGTCTGATAGCAATTGAGTGATCATTTGAGGCGTACACCTAAGAAACATATTGAATATCTTGCCGCATCCAAATTCCCATAACAATTAGCCTAAACGGAAAAACAAACACTTGACTACAAAGCACATATCAAATTTCAGCCATCGAACGACCCTCGAACTGAACTACGCAGCATCAAAGCGCTGGCGAGCTGAGTTGGGAATGGGTGTGGGAAATGGGAATGGGAAGTGGAAAGTGGAAAATGGGAACAGTGTTGCCTTCGGCACTACGCCAGAAGGGTGCTCAATTAGCCGTGACATGCGCAGCAAAAGTGAAATTTGTTTAGTGCAGCTTCTTCTTCCTCTTCTTTCCATTCTATTTTTTTGTTCTTGTATATATATTTTTTTTCGTTGTTACGCTTTTATGAAGATTATGCGCTAATGATTACACAATGATTATGAATATGCATGAGGCGTGGATGTTGTCACAGAATGGAGTTAGGGCGAGGGCGTGCTAGAGCATGAAATAGTGAGTGAGAGAGAGGGGGTGAGGGGGGACCGACAAGTGGCCAGCCGGAATTTTTGCACATTGTTTAGAAATTTACGAGCATCGCATGAATGATGAAGTACAAGTATCGAGAGCGTGAATGATTGCCATAACGAATGAATATTGAAATGCCGACAGCTGTGGCTGACAGTTGCAAAAATGCGCAATGAATACGCGTATGTGAATGTCGACACTTGTTGAAGATGCAGCACACACACACACTCACACACACTCACACACACTTACTCACACACGCACACATTGAGTGGCACAGAAAATATCACGCATACGCACCGCATAACTGCGAAGCTACGTGAATTATGGCCGCATTAATTACACGTTAATTTGTTAGTTGCTCAGACGAATAAATTGAAGAACAAATTGGCCAAGAAATTGACTTGGCAGCCGGGCCGCGGCCCAGCTGGCCCCATAAACTGTATCAAAATGTTGGATATCGTCTCTATTCGGTACTTACTTCTGAGTTTCTCGAGCGGCTCGTGCTTCGGTGTGTGCGGCGGCACGACGCCATGATGCGGATGCTGCGAATAGCTGCCGACCAGATCCTGACCGGCGGCCGTGTGATGCAAGTGACTGAGGCTGCTGATGGGCATCAGGCTCGAGATGGCGGGTGAGATGCTGACCGAGGAGCTGGAGTCGTGTAGACTGTGATGGTTGTGCAGATGATCCGCACCGGAGGCGCTGCTGCCGCCGCCATTTACGGTGGAGCTGCCACTGCTTAGCGCTGTGCTTGTGGTGGTTGCGCTCTCCGCCGATCCCGCCGACCCGGCACCGTTGGCGGTGCCCGCGCTAACCAAATCCTGTAGGCAGAGCCCAGTCGATTCGGCGGACATGGCCTCCAAGCCGTTGAGCGCACCGCTGACAATACCACCGCCACCGCCTCCGCCCGCAATGCCGCCCGGACCGAGGGCAGTGGCCGAGCTGGTGACGACGCCCAGGCCGCCACCAGCAGCACCACAGCCGCCAGCGGCAGCGCGGTCCATGCCTAGATACGTTGGAAAAATGGTGGAAAAGCTCTGGGCGACAGCCTGGTGCGGCTGATGGTGGTGATGCAGCGCGGACTGCTGGTGCGCCGGATGGGCGGGATGCAGCGGCGGCAAATGGTGATCTCTGCCGTTGAACTTCGTCGTGACGACGTCCTTAAAGTGTTGCAAGAATGTCGTCGTCTTGAGGCCGGTATCTTCCAACTGTGGCGAAAGCAGATCCAAGTTGCGGCTGTATCTGAGCTCGCGGCGGCTGCGAAGCGCGCTGCGATGCTGCAATCACAAAAGAGTTGAATACAAACTGTGTTAGTTGGCAATACATTGGCATTCCTTGTATTCATTATCACAATTACTTTCGCTCTAGCCCTATCTTTATATAGTATCTATATCTCTGGGGCTGCGGCTACCTGGCAAAGCAAACGCAGCGCAGCGCAGCGCGTTTGTTTTTTTCTTTCGTTTTTTTATCACATCGAGGCAAACAGTGAGCTTAACCCAAACACCAGGCAACGGCAACTTAACACCAAAGACGTCAAGGGGTTAATACCACATCACCAACACCAATCTGAGGGCGGAGATGCCGATGCTGGGCAACTTGTAAGCGGCCTGTCCACGGCCAGGCCTAGGCGCTGTGGCGTTGGGGCAATCGTAAATCGTTGTGTGGTTGCCGCGGTGGCGGGTGCCGCGCGTTGCTAGACGTTTGCGACTTAAGTTGACAACGCAGGCCACGACATGGCAGAGCCAGACACAGAGATTCCTACACCTACAACGTGCTTATCAGCCCGACAGAGCGAGTGAGAGCGGGCGAGCGGCGTGGAGCTTGCAAAGATAACAAGCTGCTGCTTATCAATGTAACAATATTTACATTTCTGTGAATTTTTTTTTTTTTATATTTTTATTATTGCTGCAGCCGCAGAGAGGCCGTGTTGAATTTGGCAACCAGCAGACCGATGGAGGGGGCATGGAGGGAGCAGGGTGTGATTGCTGCTGGGCAATAAACTGCGAGCGGCCGCTTAATAAATTCTTAAAAAATAAAAATACTAAACTAAAAAAACTAGTGACAGTGGCCTAAAAATAGGCACAAATGTTCGTAAATCAATTAGCTGTTGCCCATAGCTGGAAATAATCAAAAATAGATGGTGGCATTGCCCCAGGTAAACTCGATTTGCGATTCGCTCAGTTCGGTTCGGGCTGTTCGCATTTCGCGCTATCAACAAAGCCAAACAAAGCGCGCGTTGCAATAAATTCTTATCTAATCTCAATCATAACAAAAATAAAAGCATTCACAAAAAAAAAAACAAAAAAAAAACCAAAAGAAAACCAACTAATAGTTGTAAAAAATTTAATAAATTATAAAGCACAAAAAAAATTAAATACATATATAATAACTGTTTACAAAACCCCTCAACTTTCCAGTCATAAATCCAGAAAAGAAGAAAATAACTCTAATGTAATCATGAAAATATTTGTTTGCTGTCGCGCGGCGCCTGCTTTAAATAATGTTTAACTTTTGTTTTAAACAAAATTATTAAAGTTCAGTGTGATTTGTCACTTTTGCTTTCGATTGGGCGTCAAATTGAAAATTTATACTTGATAATGCCGCTTGATCTGCACTTGATCCCCAGTGGATTAGTGCGGCTGTAATATTAAATTGCCTTGTGGTTGTTTTAATAACAATAATAAACATAATTTCACATTAAACAGATTTATATAGCAATGTGGCCCAACGTTTTGTTTATTTATGACCACAAGCAATTTTTGCATTTTTTTGTTGTGTTTTTCTTGATGATGAAAAGTTTTGCATTTATTATTGTTGCATTGAAATACTCCTGTCAATTTGTGTGGCATCATTTGTGGCATATTTATATGCCGCAGTGCTTATAAATTTTATTTTTTATTTATTTTTTATCTTTCGTGGAACATTTCTGTTTGTTTTTCATTTATTTATTTTTTTTTTGTCAAGTCATTTTATTTCAGAAGTGAGAATTTATTTACATAATGATTTTCTAAGACAAAGAATGCCAGAAATTATTTTATGCCACTTTATAGCCGCAGCTTTTGCTGTTATTCTTCCCAAATTGTTGCTGCTATGCGGCAACAGCCCAGCTGCCCCCCTAGAAAAGGGGGCGTTATCGGTCGCTGGCAGAGCAAATAGTAATAGTCGTAGGTGCCAAGATTTCTATGTTTTGCCAAGGTTCTCCAACGTGTTGGCATTTCTATTTAATTTTATAAATTTATTTAAATTTAATTTCAACATTTGGCTCCCTCTTTGGATATCTTTCGGTTTGTGTATTTCGGTTTTTTCCATCCGAAAAAAAACGCAAAACACAAATTCGCATCTAATTGTTTAAGTGACGTCAATGGCAGTTAACGTCTGCGGTTTTATTTTGGGGTCTGCTCCGCCCAGACCCAGACCCAGACCCAGGCCCCCTTACAAAATGCTCCACGAATGCGAGACAGTTTATGGTTGCACTGTCGGACGATTATGAGTCGTAGATATAGTCGTTGATTTATGTTTGGCGTGAGAGTGCAGCAAAAATTTAAAACCCATCTGAGCCCTAGTTCAACAAGTTTTTATTGCCAGCTTTAAGATTTTCGGGAGCTTTTGACGTTGTTATTTCACTAAGCAGGCAGGGCCTGGTCCAACTCTATATGCATAGTTAATAACGATTAGAAGTTTGTTAGTAAACTCACATGAATTATGATTGTAACAATCTGGTTTGTTTTCTTGGAAGACATTATTGAACAATCCAATAATTTACATCCCTGTATATAAGTCTATATATTTAACTACCAATATAATTTATATTCTTTAATTATAACTTTAAAATAATCAAGTAGTTTCTTTTAAGTGATGTGTTTTAATTCTCAAATATTCTATCTTTAATATTAATTATAATATTTGTATTATTATATATTTTGTTTACAACTCATTGAAATATCTTAATGCGAAAAGTTTCTTTAAGAATTGCCCGCGTTTCTTCTCTTTGCTTTAATCCCAGCCTAAAAATCTAGTCAATCTATTCATTATATATATAATTGGTTTATCTAATTATCTGTAGTAACTCACCTCTAATTTATGGAAAGAAATTCAAATTAATCCACTTGCTAGCGCCGTCAATTTGACTGCTAGAAATGCTGCCGTGCTCCAAATATGATCCCCAGAGGTGAGGTTTTGGTTTCAGTTTCGGTTTTGGTAACGGTTTGAACTCTGGTCTTTAGTTTGTTCGTTTTTTTTGTGGATGTCACTTGAATGTGGGGCAAATGTTGTGCACTTTGCAATAAATCAAATTGCTTTCATTTGAAATTCATTTGTTGGTTGACGCGAAAATTAAGAGAAAATTCTCTAAATCTCAGATCGTTGATCGCTGAACGTGAACGTGAAAGAAATGTCGCGTGGGTTGCGTCGGCTATAAATCTTTGGAATCTTTGAGAAATTGTCGGGAATTTATTGATAAATGAGATACTAGAATTTCTCAGCGCTTTTTATTAATATTATTGTTGTTGATGTTGATGTTGTCGTTGCAACAGATTTGTGTGCTGCTTTTTGGTTTTTATGACTTTCGATGGCTAATCAAAGGCTAAAATATTTAAAGCGCTTTTTATAGTTTGCACGCAATTTGGCATCGCTTTTTGTTGTTGTTGGTATAATTGGTGTTGTTGTTGTGTTTGTGTTTGTTGTTGCACACGCGTGAGAGCGAGATGGCAGCTCGGGCTCAAATAAAAATCACAGTGATTATGTTAGTGATTAATTTTAAGTAACTCATGGATATGTTTTTAATGCGACTTTGATGCCAGCTCGTTGCTGTTATAGCCTCACAGACGAGCACAGAGACATAGAGATACAGACACACACACAATGTTAACGCACACACGTGCACACACAAATCGCAATTGCGGTGCTTTTTAGCACACACACACACACATAGAAATAATCAGGCGGTTGCGATGTCGTAGTCGTAGTCGGTATACATTCGGCTGTTGATTCTAAATCCGCGTCGGCTTTAATGTTTTAATAATTTAATCCAGCGCGTAATTAGGGTAAGTATATGAAGTAGCTCAAATGTTTGATTGGCTGACGGAAGCACACACAAAACGGAAACACAACGCGTCTGCACCCGTAACAGGACGTGGCTGAATTGAAAACGAATTCAAAAGCACACGCAAAAGTATCTGTTGGATATGTCGCAGCGACGGCAGCCGCAGTAGCAGTAGCAGCAGCAGCAGCAGCAGCAGCAGCGAGTGCGTGACGGCAGCAGCAGTTGTTGCTGCTGGTTGGGGGGAGGGTTGGGTGTTTAGCGGCTCACCCGTTGGCCTGCAACTTGCAGCGGCTATAACAAACGGTAAGCACACACATACACACACGATGATACACACACACACACACAGACGGCAGCGAGTACGGCGAGTACTCGACGAGTAGCTGCCAGAGTCACGACAAACGAACGTTGAGCAGCGGCGACGACTGACTGGCAAACGGCAACTGAATAACGGAATTTGATTTTACCAACTAACTCGCACACGCAACGCGAACGCTTCGCAGGCGATGCTATCTGTGTCTTATCTGCCCACGGTTCCAACACACAAGCCGCGGGTGCGAGAGAGCGCGCGCATGCCGGCGAGTAACGAGTGCCATAGCATTTGCTGGGCGTGAGCGAGAGACAATGCGCTGTGCACACAGCAAAGACACACCCCAAATGCCGTTGCCACTGTCAGTTTATCGCGTGCGCGCACACACACGCACACACAGTCACTCTCTCTTTACCGCTACCTCTCCCTCACTCCTGCTCGCATTCTCACTGTCTCTCACTCACTCTAGCGGCAGCAGCTCACACCAATGTTTACAGAGCGCCATTGCTCCAGTTCTGTTGCCGTTTCTCTTTTGGCTTCTGCGTGTGCCACGGCTTCAGCTTCCCTGCGCGCGCGCACCTTTCGTCTTGGTGTCATTCCCCTGCCCTCGCCGCGACCCCTCTCTCTTGTTGTTTGGAACTGCTTCTGTTTATTATTTGGCTGCTGTTGTGAGGCGCTCTCAAGGGTTTGATTTGTATTTGTACTTTGTGGGTCCTTTGTGCCCGCTTCTGTCCGCTCGCCACTGCCCCCGCCCCTGCCCACGCCATCATCCCATCCACAAGGCAACAAAAACCGTTACCGCTGCCGTTTGGTACGTGCCCGAGCCCGATTCCACACAATGTTCATAATAATAAGGCTACTTCTATCGTACACTTTTGAGGGCTGGCTGTCTTTTTACTGGGTGTCAAGGGCGTTTTGTTATCCCATTATTCTCCGTTAGCCGCCATTGTTGGCCCAGCTCCTTGCCGCTTGAGGCGGTGCTGTGTGCGCCCCTCGACACCGACTCCGACCCCGACACCGACCC